CCCCAAAACCCCAAAACCCCAAAACCCCATATCTACTAATTGTATATTTAAGAGAATTCAATTATAATTAAAGTTATAAAGCTAAATAGAATGATGTCAAAGCACAGGCCAATATCATTTAGTGCCACCTTAAACCTAATCTGAGGTTAAAATAGAATTAGTATGAGGGAATCCCAATAGATTTGTTTATTAGCATTCCAAAAGTCTAGAACTGATGTCATAGTTATTACTTCTCATAATGACTGGGATATCAGTTGGACGCTCTGTAGAGTTGATTGATAATTGCTCCATCATAAGTTTGAGATTTTCAACTCTTGCTCTTTCCTCATCCTCTGGATCTTACTCATCACTCTCCTCATCTTCACAATCTTACTCTTCAGAAGCTCTTACAACTTGATTTTCTAAATCTTCTCCCTCCTAAATCTAGTCCTCTAATTCTGTCTGATTTTCATCATCTGATTCATCCTCTTCATCTATTTGAAAGTTTGGGTCTTCTTCAAATTCCTTGTAGATCTCCATTTCTCTTTTGGCTTCTTCTTCATCAATGACCACATTCTTTTCCTCTTCTTCTATTTACTATTTGCTCTTAAGGACAAGGTCTTCTTGATCAAATTCCTCAACAATTTACCTTCGATCTTGAATATCTCTAGTACCTACTTAGATTCCACCTCTTCCATTCGGTTGAGACTGATTTTCAAATCTAAACTTCTCTTCCTCATCTTAGATAATCTTGTTGAAGTCAGCTGATTTAGTGAGTTTCACAGTTAATCTCACTTTCTTAAGTAATCCCAAATGTGCTCCAGTTTTAGAGTCAGCCACAGGTACTGAGAGATGATCATTCTTGATCTTCTTGTAGAATGCATATCCTTTCATTGTCACAAGACAAGCAACATAGACTAAATTTTAGCAGGAATGTCCTAATGACTGAAGACTGAGAGTATCACCATCATCTGATTTGCTAAAATGATGCCTAATAAGCTTAAGATAGTACTCAGGAGCTTTTTAAGAGCAGATAGTCAATGTGTTACATCTTACCATTCTATTTAGCACTTGTTAAGCTTTGTGATCTGGAATATCATACTATGACTACTTGGATGAAGGCTTAAATGATTTGAAGTTCATGGCAGATGACTGTGAAGGACTAGAATCAGGATGGCTAACATTATTCCAGCTGCTCTTCTCAAAGTTTTTTTGATGATGGCTAGAGTAATTACTTGTGCCATTTTCTTTGTTCAATGACTGTTTGAGTTCATCTTGGTTGTAGTTGTAAGTTCTCTTCATGTTTGCTAAAATAGTTTAAGTTCAAGTGAGTTTGGTTAAGTTTAAATTTTAGATATTATTATAAATTTGATATTAAAACAGATCTTTTATAGGCAATTTTAAAGCCCAAAAATCTTCAAAAGATTCAATTTAACTAATCAGATTACTCTTTTATTTAATAGAATCATTTAGTTTGATAGCTGCAGACTCATGGGGTTTTGGGGTTTTGGGG